CCCTGCCTCCCCAGGACCCGGACATCTGCCCTGCCAGTGAAGATGAAAGTGGAGAATGGAAAAACTTCAGGCTGCCAGAATACATCAATCCAGTCCACTACGACCTGGAGGTGAAGCCTCTGATGGAGGAAGACAGGTACACGGGCAGAGTGACCATCTCCGTCAACATAAGCAAGCCCACACGAGACCTGTGGCTGCACATCAGGGAGACCAGGATCACCAAGCTGCCGGAGCTGAGGAAGCCCTCTGGGGAGCAGGTACCAATTCGAAGGTGCTTTGAGTACAAGAAGCAGGAGTACGTGGTGATCCAAGCTGGAGAAGAGCTTCCCGCCACCAGTGGCGACAGTGTCTACCTGCTGACCATGGAGTTTGCCGGCTGGTTGAACGGCTCCCTCGTGGGCTTTTACAGAACCACTTACACCGAGAATGGGCAAGTCAAGTAGGTGCTGTGTTTCTCTGAGCTCAGCTTCTGCAATGTTTATTGTCCTTTCCTCTTTGTTTTCCATCTTTTATTTTATTGGTCTGATCCCCGTCTTCCCTTGGCTTCAATTGTGCTTGTTCATCTGAGAAGCAAAATGTCTTGCCTTATTGTATTTTGAAATTCTATCACCAAGCTTCAAGGTCGTAAGTAGAACGCCTGGTGCAGAGAAGCCAGTAAGTCTTTACGACACCAGGATACATCATCACTCACTGCCTCCTATCTGTAACATCCACACAAACTACCTCAGAGTTTTATGAATGGATGCATTTGGTACATTTCGCTACTGATGTTTTTGGGCTATATCATGACAATTTTTATAAGAATAAAAATTTCATTTGAAATGACAATTACATTAAATGTCAATTGTTATTTTGTGCAAGTTCGAGGAGAAGGGTCTTAATGGAAATTGCACAAGTAAGTGTTCATCTAAGGAGAAAAACCTAGCTGTGTCTGGTGGCCTTCTGTGGCCAGAACCAGTTTCTACCTAGGTTTTCAGGCAATGCTAAAGACATGTCCTGAATGGCAGACGTCTTGGAGCTGCCAGCCACAAAACATTTGATAGTAACACTAAGCCTTTACAATATAAAAGATGCTTTTCTTCCTTGTAGTGCTCCAAGCAGAAGTGTTTAAAGTACACAATAAATAATAATTATAAAACCAATATATATTCTATCTAATCTAACCTATTATCTTTCTAACTGATACTCACACAAATCGATGAGTTATAAGACCTTGGTTAAAGGCATAAGGGCCTTCCCTGAACTCACAAAGCCATCACACTGTGAGTACAGCCAGGAACCCAGGCTGAACTATATCTAAGCTGTCACTGGACATGGACCTGATTGAACATTTTCTTACACAGACTCTGCAAATGACTGAAAAAATCTGGGTGTCACCAATTAAAATGGGAGCTGGGGCCAGTCCTCCTCTGTGACTCTTACAGAGCAAAGCAAAATCTCTTGGTCAGATTTCTTCCTATTGTTGACCAGAGAGGCTCAGAGAGTAGGAAAAGTTGAATCAGCTCCACATTATTGTGTGGTACCTGAGTAAGCTGTAGAGAAGAGATAATTGGAAGAAAACATTGTGGGGTGGGAGAATCACATAGATCTATCATGCTAGCGGTCAAACTCTTGATTTTTTTCCATTTTTAAAAATGACAGCATAGCAAGATATAACAGTTTCACAGCTCAGTGGTATTGCCTACTAACGTGTTAATCTGCACTTTAATACTTCCCTAGATAACCAAATTTGAAAGTGAGTTACATTTATATAACTATATCTATCTATGTGGATTTTAAAATTTAAAATATCACAAACGTTTTCTTTTGCTTTTAAATATTTACAAGAATCTGATATTGAAGATTGCGCACTATCTCATAAATGCATTGAATTCTCTCAGTTCCTATTGCTGGGCATTGGTGCGGCTTCCACAATATTATTATTATAAGCACATCAGAAGTTACTATCCTAAAAGTTGAATTACCAGGTCAAGGGTGCCAGCATACCAAAAAACTTTGTAGCACTAAACTTTATTTATACATGAATAGTACACAGTCATTGCAGAGAATCTGAAAAACAGAACAGTGAAAGGTTAAAAAAGTAAACACCCATCAATGACTTGTTATTTGGTATTTTTCTACTAAAGGACATGCCAGACACATGCCTTGCTTGGTACAGTCATGATGTAATTCACTCAGCTTTTCCATTACATGTGGCTATTTAAGTTGCTCCTACACAATGTAAGGAACAAGCTTATAAATAATCACCTATGCCTATCTCCAGTTTGAGTTTTCTGGTGTTTTTCATAGCATTGGTAGGTTTTTTTTGTTGTTGTTGTTGTTGTTGTTGTTGTTTTTGTTTTGTTTTGTTTCTTGTTTTTCGAGACAGGGTTTGTTGTTGTTGTTGTTTTTTTGTTTTGTTTTGTTTCTTGTTTTTCGAGACAGGGCTTCTCTGTGTAGCTTTGGAGTCTATCCTGGCACTCACTCTGGAGACCAGGCTGGCCTCGAACTCACAGAGATCCACCTGCCTCTGCCTCCTGAGTGCTGATATTAAAGGCGTGAGCCACCAACGCCTGGCCATTGGTAGGGTTTAAGCTGGGTTTTTTATGTTATGGTGGGGTTTACATAGAGGCAAATGAGAAGGTAAAAAGCCAGAGAAATCATGGTGGGAACAAGAAAGTGAATTTTTGGTAAGGTTTATTATATAAAGAAGCAAGTTAGAGATAACTTGTGGGAGGACACTGGAGACAGCTGTGGAAAGAAAGGAGGCAGTCACGATGGGGACAGGGGACAGAATTAGTGAGAGCGAGACAGGGGTCACAGAAGGTCAAAGACAGAAACCTTCATCCATGCATAGAGGAGATATTGCAGATCAGGGTGGAGAGATAGGCAATGCAGGTGACATCAAGATGGGGACAAGAGTACACATTGGGGGAAACGCCCAGAGGGACTGATGGTGGGGAGGGGGGCTGAAGTCATGGGTCTAGGATGCCTAAGATGTAGCATCTGAGTGACGGCCCTACCTTTTAGTTGATACTGGAAACAGAAGGAGGTGGTGTAGAAGGAAGGAGAAGAAGTTGATGTAGAAATTCAGTTTTAGACCTGGTGAAGCCTCTTAGACACAGCTAGTGAGGTTTGGGGCAAATACCTCTGAAGCAAAAAGCTAAGGTTTATGGTATGATTTAGTAGCTTTGTGAAAACGGTGTCTATATGGGAAAACGCATTAGCACACACAAATGTGCATACTCCATTGTGAGGTTTTGATCTTGAAATTTTAGCTGTAGTCAGATGATCCTCAGCTTGTGGAAAGTTATCAGTACAGAGTGAGATTTATGAGGAGGTCTTGTATGCTTGTTGCAGGGCTCGTGATTTTTGTTTACTTTGGAGGGAAGGGAATTTTAGATGGCCTTTAATATCTTCTGCATAAAAAGCAACACAATTTGGAATTAAATAACGAACTGGTTCGTTCAGTCCACCCTACAGCTCCACTGAGATGTAAGAGACCACCCTGCATCAACTGAGCAGCATGACTTGGGAACCCTTGACAGACTGTAAACACAGCACTGGTAGTTGCTACCCCTACAGCAGAAGTACCCCCCTCTCCTGACCCCGCTTAAGGATTTTAGCCAGCTTTGCTGTTTGTCTTGCTGGCTCACATTAAGAAGTCGTTGAACACAGTCTGGGAGTCATCCTTGGGAGCATGGTGCCAGGGACTTACGAGATAACCCAGTCCTGTGGGGTTTTGTTTTCTAAAGTTGATTCAGAGTGACCATGGCTTCTCCTTCCTCAGCTTTCTCAAAAGCATGTTGGTCTCATGCTGTTGAGGAAGGCAGACAGAGGCACTCACTGATGGCGAGTTAATAAGCTACAAGGAGCAAGATTTTAAAGTCCAGTGGATAAGTTATTAGCATGGCCCAGGGAGGCCTCCTAGAGAAGTGGCTTGCTCAGCACATTTGCTGGTGTAATTAATTACTCAGAACACTGCAGTCACTTCTGAGTGTCTCCTGCTGTTCTCAGGCAGTTCTCATCCATTTGCAGCCCAGCTAAGATTTTAGAAAGGACTTTTAATCGTCAGATAAAGACTGTGACCTAAAGTCACTTTATATTGCTGTCTTATATACCTTATTTGCAAATTTGCTTAGCATTTAGCAAATTCTGGTGGGAATTCAAAGAGCTCAGAGTTTTCTGAGTTCTTCAGTAGAAAATAGGAAAAACAAGAAACAAGCTACCTTTTCTTTTTGTTGTTATTTTGGTTTGGTTTGGTTTTTCAGAGACAGGGTCTCACTATGTAGCTCTGGCTGAAAGTCACTATGTAGACCAGGATGACCTCAAATACACAGAGATCTACCTGCCTCTGCCTCCCAAGTGATGGAATTAAAGGCATAAATCACAATGCTTGGCACAAGTTACCATTTTAAAATATGGTTGTATTACCATTAAGACTTACACACAATATATTTTTCCAGTATATAGTCCAGCTAAATAAATGGACTTTAAATGTTTTAGACTGCAGAAAGCACTATATCATAAAATCTGGGTCTAGTGTGGTAGTACATGTATAAATCCCAAAGATTTGAGGAGAAAGACCACCAACCCAAGTCATCATGGCTAAATTAATTAAAGCAAGTTTTTTTTTTTTTTTTTTAGTTTGTGTACATGGACTTTCTCTTTCTAAGGGTGGGGTTCAAGAAATCAGCATTGGAAGTGAGGAAGACAATGTTTTTATAGCTCAGGGGTAGGGGGTTTCCAAATGGAGGGTTTGGCAGACAAAATAGTGGGGTTACAGGAGCAGAACATAAACAACAAATTAGTCTTAACAACCTCTTAAAACAAAGACATGTTTGCAAGGTGGTCATACCAATGTAGTCACTCAGGTGGTTACAGTTATTGTTTCCTGGAACAGGCAGTACAGAAACATTTGTAGTTACAGTTACAGGCAAGGGACAGCCCCATCCTTGAGAAACAGAGATGCAATCATGAACAGGAATGAACCTAGTTTGTCTTTACTATAAGATGGCTTTTAAGCCTAAAGTGGAGGCAGGCTGGTTCATCGCATGCTTATCATGCAACGCTGGGGCAGCTGAGGCAGGAGGATGAGGAGTTCAAGGCGTACCTGGACCACACAGCATGGTCCTGCCTCAGTAAGGCAAAGAAAGCATAGTTTGTCCTTTAGATTTCTAGGGAATAGCATGGGTGTGTCTTGGCACTATTATACACATGTCAAGGGGTTACTTCATATGATGGTCCCTAAGGTATGTCCAGCAATATTTACTCTGGTGACTACGTTTTACACCACCTGAAGACACAAAATCAGGTTTTGTGACTTGCTGAAGGTCACATGTGGAAAGACAAAAGAAGATTAGAATCTCAGAATTTTTCCTCTTAGAAGAGAGTTTTTCCTTTAAAATCACATGGCTCAGCACTTTGATGGGGGAGGGGAGCAATACATATTTTACCTGCCTGCTGGCAATTAATATCATTCATTTTCCCTAAACAATCAGGTCTCCATAATTGTGTTAGACTTGGTGCGACTGCTGAAAAGGCCACTGAGGCAAAACAGACCCACTGCCTGGAGACGCCTGCAGCTCTCCTGGATCCCTGTGTTCAAGAAAGAGCAAGAGCAAAAACACTCTATTTAGGAGAACAATTGGTCAGAGACCTTTGTAAAGGGAGCAAGTAACAGGATTAAACATTTCTCTACCCTGGGTTCTCAGGAGTTTATTCGCTAGCATCTTGCAGAGAGTTGACCTTTGAAAAACCTGTACAGGCTGGGCATTGGTGGCTCACACCTTTAATCCCAGCACTCAGGAGGCAGAGGCAGGCGGATCTCTGTGAGTTCGAGGCCAGCCTGGTCTCCAGAGCAAGTGCCAGGATAGGCTCCAAAGCTACACAGAGAAACCCTGTCTTGAAAAACCAAAAAAAACAAAAAAAAAAAAAAAAAAAAGACAGAAACAAAGGGAAAAACTTATACAATGAATGACTGTTGCCTGGAAGGGCAGCTTTGCTCCCTGCTTATTCTGGGATATTGTGATGCTCTTACTTGAGCCAGGTCCCTCCCAACACACACACACACACACACACACACACACACACACACACTTCCTGGCTTATTTCTTTGGTGGACCAACCTGCAACATGATTGTTCCCTTTTCTTCACTCCTGGGGGTTAAAAAAAAAAATCACAAGTCAAAACAATTCAAACGAACTTGGCAGTTGTGCAAGAAAGGGTTGTCCCTGCCTGCCCGTTGTCATAAGTCCTTCCTACTCTGGGAAAACATGATGGGTTCTTCATAGTCTGATGTATTTACATTCCAGTGCAATCTCCAAAAGGTCTAAAATTAAGGTTTATTGCAGGACATGGTGGCACACACCTTTAATTCCTGTAGAGGCAGAGACAGGTGAATCTCTGTGAATTCAAGAACAACCTGGTCTACATAGTGAGTTCTTGGGCAGCCAGGGTCACACAATGAGACCCGTCTCAAAGAACAAAACAAAATAAAAACTGTTAACATCACAATAACAATAATTATTCTGTTGCAGAACAGGTCCTTGACTAAGGCTTGATTTAAACAAAACAAAACAAAACAAAAACAAAAACAAAAGCTGTCTAACAGCAGCTTTAAAAGAAAAATCAAAGAAATTAGCATCAATACAATTATGTAACTCAAGAATTCATAATCGGGTTTCTTCAGTTAGCCCAGCAATGGCCTGCCAGTTTTTCTTCTCCCCAGTATCCCACCTTGGAAGTGTGTCCTGTGCCACAAGCTCCTTCAAATCCAAGTTTTCCCCTAGCCTTCCTTCATCTTTCTTGATGCCGGTAGTTCTGAAGAGGATGGGCCAGTTATTTGGGGAATGCCCCTAAGTTTCTATTTGTTGGCTCTGTTCAATGATCTTTTTAAAATGTCATCGGAGTATTTCTGTCAGGAGTATCAAGGAAGCACGGCTGTGTAGCACTCAGGAAGTGGTGAAAACTGCTTATAAGTCAGTGATTGTTGGTGATGCTACTTAGGAAACCATGTCCTTCAGGTAATTTCCAACGGCTTTCTCCAGAGTCAGAGTAACAGGGCTTGTAGGTCATTTTTCCAGAGAATATCTGAAACAGGCAACTGTATCTTTACCCAATTCTTTGGGGTAAAGAATTTCTGAAGACTTTCTGAATCTGGTATTCCTTCTCAAATTCTTGGTCTCTAAGAGTTTGGAATGTGTTTCATTGATAGTGTGTGTGCTTAGCGTGCGTAAAACCCCAAGGCCAGTCTCTAGCATTGCAAGATAAAATGTCTATAATCTTTTTAAAGAAGAATTTAGATCAAACTTGCAATCAAAGAAAGAGTCCATGGGCTTTCCTAATTAGCTTCTCTGCTTCGGTGATAAAATACTGACCAAAACCAACTTGGGGAAGAATGATTGGCTTATGCTCCCATGTCACAAACCATACATGTCGGAAGTTAAGGAAGAAACTCAAGGTGGGACTCTGAAGAAGAAACTGAAGTGGAAACCAGGAAGGAATGTTACTTTGTGACTTAATCCCCATAGCTTGCTCAGCTTGCTTTCTTATAGAACCAAAGACCAGCTGCTGAGGAGCCACACTACCCATAATGGTCTGGGCCCTCAAGAAAATGCCTCTCAGACACACCCATAGGCTATTCTGATGGGAGGTAATTCCCCAATTAAGGTTCCCTCTTCCCACATGTCTCTAGTTTGTTAAATTGGAAAAAACTAACCAGAACAATGGTTCAGTTGCCCCAAGCCTGATGACCTAAGTTTGATCCCTAGAACTCACATGGGGAAGGGAGAGAGAGCTGAATCCAGCAGTCGTCCTCTGACCTTCACACTCTGTCACTGTGTCCCCCACCCCCACACACACCATAAATAAAATGCAAAAAAGTCACTAAAATGAACAAGAGAGGATTCATGTGTTCTTAGTTTATTCAATGGGTTATTTTCCCATTCTGCTGGTTTTGGTGTTCCCATTCCCATAGGTTTGGCAAGTAGTACTCCTGTCAAGAAGATACCTGTGTCCTTCTGACTGGTTCCCATGATTCTTTGAGTGCTTCTTACTTTCTTGACAAGATGATCTTGGTCAGCAAGGACTTCTTGCCCAGCCTAGAAGCAGCCCCTTCTCTAAGGAGCCCCAGCTCCTCTCAGTAGAGAATTGCCTTTGGAACTTGTCATCTGGAAGCAGAATGGTATCTGCAATGTGTGTTATTATGAGTATGGCGTGTGTGTGGGGGGAGCTTTTTTGTTGTTGTTGAGACAGGGTCCGGCTATGTACCAAAGCCTGGCTTGAAACTCCTCAGTGTTGGGATTATAAGGGTGAGACACCCCTCCTGGTTCTTTAGCTTAAAAGTCTTTGTGATACAGCTTCTTTAGTTCGTGAGAACCCATGTTATCCTTGGTACAGATTGTTGGTGACAGCAATCAATGTTATCTTGCTTCTAATGTTTTTATTTGCTGTTCTTTCCAATGAGCAAATAAATATGTGATCATATTGTTTTACTGTAATATGCTTATATATGTATATATATATAGATACACACACGTGTATATATAAAGTTTGAAATTCTAGAAATGTTAAACATTAACAGTTTAGTGAATATAAGCACATGCCTACTAGTAGCCATCAAGGATGCTGCTGTCTTTTCAAAAGTGGGCTTTTTAATTTAAAAAGCTATGTAGGAGATTGCACACAGGGCCTTGCACATATCAAATGGGTGATCTACCACTGAGCTATATAGCCCCAGCTCTCAAAATGGGGCTTTAGGTCAGGCTGACATTTTTCTCACTAGGGAGAAGGCTCAGCACTCATTTGGGATGAAAATGGACAGGAGTTCTGTCCTTGCTGTAGCGTAAGCATGGAAGAACATGCCACTGGGACAAAAGGAGGTTACAAGAAAATACTCCTCTGCTCAGTGATGGGACACACCTGCTTATAGCTCCCAACATAGAAAGAGGCAACTGGGTGTGCATGTGTTTGCCTCCTTGTTGCTCAGTGACTTTGGGTAGAGTATCCCCAAAATTCTAAAACCTTTTGATGGATATTTGATAGTCTTTTAGATGAAGTTTATAAAAAGAAATGTTAATAGCTATCATAATGTGACTCACATTTTCTACAGGAATAGAAACATAGGGACTGTCAAAAGTGGCTGTATGCATCCTGTCTGTGTTTATTTCTAAGGAGCATAGCGGCCACTGATCATGAACCAACGGATGCCAGGAAGTCCTTCCCTTGTTTTGATGAACCCAACAAGAAGGCAACTTATAATATATCCATCATCCACCCCAAAACTTACTCAGCACTTTCAAATATGCCAGTGGAGGTGAGTACTTTAAAATCTTGTTTCTGCACATGGGCTGTTTGCAGTATTACTTGAACTACCTGATTTACCTAGAACTCTGAATTCTAAAACTAAATGTGCTAGAGCTATCAATTTAAAGGATTAGGAACACATCTTAGCAATCTTTTTTCTTTGACTCTAGGAAGTTGTCAACTTATAACACTACAGTCAATTAATAAATTCACATTGAAATTTTTAAGGAAGAAAGAACACAATCTCTATAGATTGACTGGGGGCTCTGCTTAACTACACAAACCACTAGTCATAAAAAAAATCAATGATACACTTAAAGTTTTCTAGGTTATACTCACTATTTAAACTTTTCAGTTCAATGCAATTCCCCCCCCCCTTTTTTAAACAGATAAAGCTATTTCAAAAAAATCACTACTTCAATCCCAGAGAGTGCCATGACCATAGATTTTCCTGATGAAAGAATCTGTCAAACATTGAATTAATAATAGGCTACAATAATTCTGTCTGGATACTTGTGAATACAGGACACTTTCCTGTGTTTCCTCTTCATAATGGGTGGCATGGTTAAAGACCATTTGTTACCTTGAAGTTAAGGGTCATTATACACATCACACATTTGATGCATAAAGTAATTAGTGTAATTGTTCTCTACCTCCCATCTTTCTGATTAGTTCAGATAGTGAACTAAAGTGGAAACCCATCTTTCTACTAATAAACTAACCCTTGAAAAGCACAAACTGCCGAGCATTGGTGGTGCACGCCTTTAATCCCAGCACTCAGGAGGCAGAGGCAGGAGGATCTCTGTGAGTTCGAGGCCAGCCTGGTCTCCAGAGCGAGTGCCAGGATAGGCTCCAAAGCTACACAGAGAAACCCTAAACCTCTAATCAGATTTTTTCCTTTGGGCATCTGAGAACTTACGTTCAGATTGGAGTAGAAAGAGTAAGAGATAAAATTCAAGTTTAACGTGTCAATTGAAAACAGGTGATCAGAGTTCAGGAGGCATCAGAATGTCTTGGAGGAGATGAGGGAAAATGAAGGTAAAAGGAGAAAGAAGACAAACCAATCCCTCTTTCTTCATGACCTCAGAAGACTATAGATTTTTACTTCTGCTGGATTCAGAGACTGGCTGGGAGAAGAATGGTTCTCTGGGTCATTGAAATATAGACCTAAATGGATGCCAGTAGACTTTTATGGTGATGTAACTTTTTTTCTTCTGGAGCATACACATACCCACAAATGGCAAGAATGTTCCCATCTAGAAAGTGGATATGTGGAAATGTGCAAATGTTTAAGCTACAGTAGCAAGAACATGGCAGGTGCTTAGGGCTGGTAGTTGATTGATGGCAAAGTGGCAGAACTGGTATGGATGAAAAAAATCCCAGATGGCTTAGTTCTGTCAAACAATGGAGTCCTCTCTGACAGTAGTCACCAGGGCATTGACTAGTGCCCATACCATGGGTCTTTGATGTAGACAAATGGAATTAGAAGAGAGAAGCCCACACTGATTGTTCACACAGTAGTTATTCCTTTACACACAGTAAACAAGCTTCTGCCTGATTAATTCTTCCCTCCGAAAGACTTTCAGCCTATTCTTTACTAAGGGATCAAGTTTCCCTTAAAAGATGGTTAGCGTTATGTGATTTTTTTTTTTTTGAAAGATAAACATCTGCCCACTTGATATGCCAGTAAAACTTACTTTTCTGAGAAATCTGGTACCATGTGCTGTTCTGTCACTTCTATAGTCTTGAAGATAAGGTGACTTTTCTCATAGCCTTTTCAACATTACCACTTGTCATTTGACCTCTGAACTTTGAAAATGACCTTCTGAGTAGGGAGTGGGCTTTGGGGTACCCATTTGTTTGTCTTATTCATGGTTGGTCTTGTGATAAGTAAAAGATGATCTTTTGTTTCCTGTAGAAAGAAGAGACACTGGATACCAACTGGAAAAAAACCACTTTTATGAAGTCTGTCCCCATGAGCACTTACCTGGTGTGCTTCGCTGTCCACCAGTTCACATCTGTACAGAGAATGTCCAACAGCGGCAAACCAGTGAGTCTTAGTAGATTTCAAAAACTCAGCACCAATGCATTTGTGGTTAACTTTCTGGCTTTTGAAAATAATTGCTTATTAGTTCCATTCAACAGGCAAGAACCCTTGTTAGCCACTGGGTTTTGGGAACTCAGTAACACACTAAACAAGATGGAAAAGTGCAAGACACAAGGACATGGGTGATAAACAAAGGTGACAGGCATAAATATGCACAGCCTTGAAATATTTTCAAGAGAAAACCCACTGACAAACCTAAGCTGGTTCCTCTATAGACCAGCACAAGTACGTCAACTATGTGGCCCTACTCAGCTTCATTGAAACGCCAGGTGTACGTGTCAGAAGGCATGTCTAGGTAGAGAGGGGGTGGTGAGGAGAATGTTCTGGAAGCCATAGGAGCTGAGCAGTTTATGGTACCATTTCTATATGTCATTTTTGTTAATGTGCTTGTTTTTGAGATAGGGTTTCTTTGTGTAGACCTGGCTGTCCTGGAGCATGCTCTATAGACCAGGTTGGCCTTGAACTCAGAGAACTGCCTGCTTCTGCCTGAGTGCTGGGATTCAAGGTGTGCACCACCACTGTCCCACTCTATATGTAATTACCATCAGTCAGCTCCTTCCTGAGACCCTGACTCAAGAAAAAACAAACTTGTATTTCAAAGTATATAAGTTTTAAATCAACAAATTGATACAGAAACCTAAAAAAGTGAACAAAATATCAGAAGTATATTTGAAAGTATGAGCATATGTTTCTTTTTAAATTAATCTATTTTTTACATTCTAATCCCAGTTCTCCTTCCCTCCTCTCCTCCCTCTCCCCCTACTTCTCCCCTCCTTCCATCTGTTCCTCGGAGACGGTAAGGCCTCCCCTAGGAAGTCTACTAAGTCTGTCCCATAGTCTCATTGAACATGTTTCTAAATGACAGCTTCAACAACTCCCTTTAAACTTTTTTGCAATTATTTATTTAGTGTGTGCATGTGTGTTAGTGAGTGTGTGTGTGTGCACGTGCACTACAGCATGGTGTGGAGGTCAGAGGACACCTTGTGGGAGTTTATTTTTTCCTCCTACCAAGTAAAATCTGGGGTTTGAATTTGGGTCTTCAGAGTGTTGCCAATTCCCTTTACCTGATAATTTATCTTGCTATCACAATGACTTCCTCTTGAAAACACAAAACCATTTTTACCGACAAGGTTTTTGGTTTGGGGGCTGAGAGATGGCTCAAAAGTTAAGAGCACTGGCTTTTCCAGAGAGCCTGAATTTGATTACCAGCACCCACATGGCTTACAACCAACTGTAATTCCAGTTCTAGGAAATATGACTCCCTTTTCTGCCTACCTCAGGTACCAGGCATGCACATAATATACAGACATATATACAGGCAAAACACATAAAATAATAAAAAAAATTTAAAAATTGAAAAAAATGGTTTGTTTTGGAAGCCCCAATTTTGCTATTATTTAAATTCTTATTTTGCTTAGAAAGCAAGTCAATTCACCTCTTTGATATATATATATATATATATATATATATATATATGTATATATGTATATATGTATATATGTATATATGTGTGTGTATCCATATATATCAACATATATATTCATATATATATGTGTGTATATGTAACCAATGGCACTCTTCACAGTTTGCATTTATTTACTTTTTTAAAGATGTTATTTATTTATTATGTATACAACATTCTGCTCCCATGTCTATCTGCACACCAGAAGAGGGCACCAGATCCCATAACAGATGGTTGCGAGCCACCATGTGGTTGCTGGGAATTGAACTCAGGACCTCTGGAAGAGCAGTCAGTGCTCTTAACCTCTGAGCCATCTCTCCAGCCCCCACAGTATGCATTTATAAGGAAGAAGTCACTACCCATTTTACAGATGAGAATCTTGGAGCCAAGGGAACTCAAATGCTTTGCTGAAGAGCCATCTGAGGAGTTGGAGGGACTCGATTCCATACTCTTTCTAAAACACCATGCTCTGCTAAGGTCTGGAGATGGGATGTTCAGAAAATATCATTAGCTAGTCATCAGTCACTGCAGGGGAAGGACCAGATGGTTTTACTTCCCATGAAGCATGCTCCTGGAAAAAAAAAAAAAGGAACACCTTCATTTACGTATTGATAGAGTGGCTATCGAGACACACTAAAACTGGGTTTCCAGTATCCAAGTTATAGTGAGAGGGGGAACATAGAGACCTTTCACTTGGGACTCAGGAGGACTGGTCCAGCCCAACTCTTCCTCATGCCATATATGATGCTTTGATAGAGGGCACCACCAGTTCCTAAAGGTAATGCTGAGCATTGGGGGAGATGGCATTGATAGAGGAAATTGCTTTTCTACTCTGTATTTGGCATAGTTGGTGGTGTACCTCTGGCTTGACACAAAGTGGAGTCCATTAGTTCTTGTTTTTCTTCCACTGTCATAGCAAATGTGCAATATTTATTGAGTGCTTTCTTTAGAACCCACACTTCATCACATGCAGGTGTTTTTCATGTTAAATTTTTACAATATGATTACATTCTGGGCATGTCTTTTTTTTTTTCTGTTTTCAGTAGAACATCAAGACATAGCAGGAAGGCTGAGCAATTCCTCTATCCTCATAGTTTTATGAGTCAGTATGCAGCCAAGCAGCCAGCAAAAGACATTACACTCTTAGACTCTTAGTTACTTTCTAATAGCAACTGTAAGTGAGCTGGAGTTTCTGGAAGATTCCCTTGCTGAGTCCCATCAAACCCCGCCTCCCCCCCCCCCCCCCCCCCCCCCCGCTCTTCTGGCCTGGTGAGTCATTACGGTGTGGATCAGCTTTTGGCTAGATTCTAAGGATGAATTTCAAGTAAAGGAATGAAGGAACGTAGTGGAAAATACTGTTTTTGCCAAAGATCCCAGCAGTAGTAAATACTTCACAAAGTGGCTCTCTTGTGAAAGCTGGTGGCAGGATGCTCTTTTTGAGACCAGCATCACTTTCTATACTTTGGAAGGGGAGCGAGGATATCCTGTCATGACATTCCTTTCTGATCTCCTATTTCGTAAGAGAACTCAATTGCTTTCTGAAATTCCCCAGATCCTCTCTAGTCAGAATTCAACCAAGTGACCTGGAGCTGAAGCTAGGGGGCGCCTTTCCCTCCTCATCTTCCCCTATACTCTGGGGCCGTCTCCCCTAAAAGTTGAGCAGAACTTCATAAGGATCTGAAGCCCTAATGTTCATGTTAATACTTCCCGAAGGCTTCCTTTTCTTCCCGTATTTGGAAGCCCCTTCCCACTCTGTATGTTCACTGTGAATTGAAGGCTAATATTGGCACCCCAGAAGAACGTTTTCCAAGTGTGACACTCACTTCAGAGAGAAACATAAGAAAATCAGCCTCCTTAGATCCACTGAAATGTGACAGAAAGGAAACCCACCTAAGTCTTGTAACCATTAAAAAAAAAAAAAGTTATAATCAATTTGTTGCAAAAGTTACCTAGTAAGGGAAGACAAAACAGGCAGCTGGGCAGTCCAGCGTCATGAATGAGCTAAGACTTAACAGGCAGACTTAGCAGTCCAGCGCCATGAATGATATCTTGCCCTGGTGGTTCCTATCCTGCGTTTCTCTGACTCTCTTCCAGTCTTCTCCCGTGGTTCTCAGACAGAGGTGAATAAACTTCATTTCACCCCCACTGACCGAATTGCTCACATGCTGGTTTTCCTGTATTACACTGACTTGCTCTCCCACATATGGGCTTTCCTGGATCGTGGGCACAGATATTTATCATTTGAAATTTATCTAAAATATTTTGTCTAAAATATATTTTTTTAAAAAAGAGTTCTCCACTTAAAACCTCCTATCTACCCTCATGTACTATTTTCTTTTTTTAATTTAGTTAGTTTAGAGACAATCTTATTTTACATATCAATCCCAGGTCTCTCTCCCTCCCATCCTCCCATGCCCCTCACTGACCTCCCCATCCCATGCCCCCATCCACTCCCCAGGGAGGGTGAGGCCTTCCATGAGGGATCATTAAAATCTGCCAAGTCATGTGGGGCAGGGGCCTAGGCCCTCCCCTGTGCATCTAGGTTAACAGAGTATCCCTCCATGGGAAATGGGTTTCCGAAGTCCATTTGTGCCCTAGGGACACATCCTAGTTTCACTGCCAGAGGCCCCATATACTTCCCAGTGCTCCTAACTGACTCCCATGTTCAGGGGGCCTGGTTTGGTCCTATGTTGGGTCCCCAGCTGTCAGACTGGGGTCCATGAGTTCCCACTTGCTCAGGTCAGGTGCTTCTGTGGGTTTTCCCAGCATGGTCTTGACCTCTTTATTCCTCACTCCTCAAATTTTTACTCTTTTACATTACACATTCTTAAAACATCTTACACATAATTCAGTATTTTAAAAATAATTTAAAATTTTTAATTACATATAATTAAGTCATTCCCCTTCCTCCCTCAGACCCTTACCATGTCCTCTCCCTTAAACCCCACCCATAGTCTCCTAATTCTGTCTCAAATTCAAAGCTAATAAACCTCTTTAAAAAATTCTTTTCACGTTGGGCGTTGGTGGCGCACGCCTTTAATCCCAGCACTCAGGAGGCAGAGGCAGGCAGATCTCTATGAGTTTGAGGCCAGCCTGGTCTCCAGAGCGAGTGCCAGGATAGGCTCCAAAGCTACACAGAGAAACCCTGTCTCAAAAAACCAAAAAAAAAAAAAAAAAAGAAAGAAAATTTGTTTTCACACAATGTATTTTGATCATGTTTTCTCCCTCCACCAATACCTCCACTGTCTTCCCTACCTGCCCACCAAATTGTATTCATCTATCTATCTATCTATCTATCTATCTATCTATCTATCTTTCTATCTTATACCTATCATCTCCCTCTCACTTCCCCACTCTCACCTTCAAAAACAAAACATGTAAATGAAAATTAAAACAAACAAGCCCAAAACAAATAAGAGGGAAAAAAAAGCCAAACCCCAAAACAAAAGGTACACACACACACACACACACACACACACAC